GAGGCAGACAATCAATGATTCTCTCTCATCAATGATGTTTCTATCTCTCTCTCTCCCTCTTCCTTCCTCTCTGGAATCAATAAAGAAATATATTTAAAAATAAAAATAAAAAAAATACAAACTTATTTGGGACATTCCTGCCCCCAGCTAACTCCTCACTAGAAGCCTGAGTCCCCCACCCCACACAGGGACAGATAATAAACCCTCCAGGGCTCAGCTCCAAGTGCTGCTTCTTGTGGGGGCACAGCAAACGAAACACACCCCTGCCCTTGGCCTCCATTCACCTTGGTCTACTCTATCCCAGAAAAGACTTCTATTACGAAGGCACATGACAGCCAATGAAACACAAACTTTACCTGTCACATTGGTTTTCAAAGCCTGAGGCTGACAGCTCCCTCTTGGGAGCCTGTGGGGGAACTCCCCTACATCACCAAGGGGTGGGGAAATTAGCACAACTGTAGGGAGACTCTATGGGAAAAATCTAGCAAAATTGCCAACACCTTTACCCTTGGACACATTGATCCAATGTCTAGCAGTTTATCCCAGAGATCTGCTCACAAACACAGAAAAAAGTGTGTACACAGTGACTCGCTGCAGAGCTGTTTGTCATTGCAACATCTGGAAACAACCCAAACATCCATCTATGGGAGAGAGCTTGCAGGTCTGAATAAACTATGGCACGTCCACACGGTGCAATTCTAGGGGGTCGTAAAAGAAGCGCAAAGGAGGTCGTTCTCTGTACCAATGTGGGGTGGAGGTGGGGAAACCTAAGGAAGAAAAGAGCACGGGTATAGAACAATCTCTACAGCGTGCCAACTTCCGCATAAGAGAGGAGGATGTACATTGACTTATAAGTCTACTCATGTGTTTACATTGATTTACAGAAACTCTAGGAAAGTGGCTGCCTGTCCTCTTAGTCCCTTCAGGCAGCTATAACAAAATGCCACAGGCTGGTGGGTTTCTGAGCAGAAGCCTATAGCTCACAGCTCTGGAGGCTGGAGATCCAAGGACAAGGTGCCAGCAAAGTTACATGAAGGCCCTCTTCTGGCCTGCAGACTGCTAACCTCTGTCTGTCCTCACCTGTCTGAAGAAGTGCAGGGCTGGGTGCCTTCTCTGAAAGCTCTAGTCCTGCCCTGGAAGCTCGTCCCTTAGAACTAAGCTCCTCTCAAAGGCCCATCTGCTCCCACATCTCAGTGCCTTTCCCAGGCTGCACTTAGTGTTGCACCCAGCTGTGCTTGTTGAGGGACTGAGGGACTGACCCACAGCTTAGGAAATGCACATTCCAAAGTACACCTACCCCTCATACCCTGCCTTCCCCCACCCTGTCCCTTTGTTGTCCCTTGGCCCTAATCATGATTTTGGCTGTTCCCTTGGCTATGACCACACTGTCTCCCCCCCTAATGAGATGGCAAGAGAACCTGAGCCTTGCCCCTCAGAACGGAGCCCAAGAACCCCAGAGCGTTCACTTCTGCCTCTCATGAGATCCAGTCCCTGGTGGTCCTGGCAGGCACCACCTCCTTCCCACCTCCTTCCCTGCTAGTCCCTGGAGTCTACTTACCAGCATTTCTCTCCTGGCTTCTCCTTGCTTTAAGCCTGATGCAAACCCACAATACAAAGGGAGACAAAGATGAGGAAGCTAGAGTCCCATCCTCAGACGTCTAGGTCACGCTGGGGAGACAGGCCAGAGAGACAGGGCAGTGCCACTGAGAGGGCTGTCCCCAGACGGTCATCTCATTTTCCACACTGGAAGTCTGGTCTGACCTGGAGCCCGAGTGTGACCCCAGCATTCTCGAGGGTGCAGCATCCCGGGCCCTGAAGGTGGCTCTATCCTCTGGTTCTCCTCAGGTGGGAGAAAGGAGACTAGTACATGTCCCCACCCAAGCCCTGGCCCTGACTCAAGATAGGGAGACCCCAGAATCCTCATGACCAGTCTGACTGGTCCTCTGAAAATATAGGTGCCCTGGAGAAACCCAAGTCCAGCTACACGGGGTGGCCCAACTGGCCAGCCAGGGACCAGGACTCCTTCCCAGGACACTGCCAGCACT